GGGAAGCTGCTGTGGGTGATACAAAGTTGGGAAGCTGCTGTGGGTGATACATAGTTGGAAGCTGCTGTGGGTGATACATAAGTTGGGAAGCTGCTGTGGGTGATACATAGTTGGGAAGCTGCTGTGAGGTGATACATAGTTTAGAAGGTGTTGTGGGTGATACATAGTTGGGAAGGTGTTGTGGGTGATACATATTTGGGAGTTAGCAGGTTATACATTACAGACAAACTAACCAACTTTTGACCTGTAAGACTGGGCCAACTATAGAAACTATACGTTTTATAGAGTAACAGCCCACTACAAAGGGTGCCTACGTTTTCAAATAAAACTTGATAAAAGTGAGTGGATTCCTTGTGTTAAAACTCTATCTAGAGAACATTGGTACAGGACGTTCAGTCTAGAAAAGCTAATGAGTTTGCCCTTCAACGGATTTACTACATGTGGAATTGTCTGGCCTTCTTATCATTTTTGGGAGAAGTGGGAAAACCATTGTTTCTAAGCATTTTTCATGATCAATTCAAATACCAAATTGTTTATCAAGCTCGGTTCAGAGCTTTAACAAGGACACCATAAAACAACTTTCATAAATAAAGAACAATATAGTTAGAGCAAATTCCACAAATAACTATAATACATATTTGTCTTTGATCTCCACTACATAAGGTCACTGGATCAAAACTTTTGGCCAAATCGTAGAGGGAAGAGCACCGAAAATCAGTAACATAATCTACACCCATAGTACAGTGATGTACATATTGCCAACTCATCACAGCAAAAACATGGTGTATTTACTGTAGACCAAGCACTCTGTTGTACATGTAGCTTAAATAGGTGGCAACACAATACACACACATGTTTACACCCACCTTAGATCTGCACATATTAATTTCCTAATATCATAGCACAACATATCAAAGACTCTGGTTTGTATGGGTAGAAATGGGAAGGCAATGGTGGGAAAATTATATGAAAATGAAGTGCAAGCTTACATTGGAAGCTTTGTGGTGTACGAGTATAGTACTACGATTCACATTATATCTAGAGGAACATGATCAGGATATGACAGTTTTGTATAACGTATGAAGCACTCTGATGATCAAGTTGCTTATAAAGATCTAGTTGTAACAGTTACACTTCTTTATTAAAAGACAGATTCAAATCGGCAATGTTGTAAGATGTACATGGGTAACCAGGCTCTTACTTGTTATCAGAGCTTATTAATAGACCATTTTCCGTTCACTGCGAGAATCACGCGTTATGCGTGAAATCGAACGTAAAAACAGGACAAACAAAGGTCATAGCGTCGTAGTGGCGTCAAACATCGCATGAGATTCGACAAACGCGAAAGTATTTTGGGGAACATTTCCATGTCAATAATGTGCTGTACACATTTGATGATGGGCAATTTCGATTAAGTGAGGATATTCGAATGCAATATTCCTCTGTCGAAGATCGGCCGGTCGATGTGCGCTACGAAATAAAGAAATTCGAGTTCAAAATCAAATCGTTCGATTTTTGCGGCAGACGTTCGACGCGCGTCTTTCATGCATCTCGCAAGATCTCGCAGTTGTACGGAAAATCACCTATAACGAGATGGTCTGTGGGAGTTTCATGACAACATGAGCTGATTCAGTTCCTCTTAACATTGCATGTACTTGTAGTTTCAAGACTGGTAAAATAATAAGCACAGTTACATACCCATCTATTAATTCAAAGATGTATAGAAATTTCAACAATGTACAATTGATGTATATCAATAAAAATATACATGGGGGAAAGTAACTTTACACACATACATGGTCCAATGTGTACAGTAGTACATAAATTATTGTGCTACACGTTAATGAAATAATCAGTCTTGGATAATTCACAACAATGTACAAATGATATATGAATGATACATTGAGCTCAAAGTTAACCTTTTCACGACCAGACATTCCCGCCCAAAATTTGCTACTTTTAGTTCATATATTCTTCAATATTTTCAGTTTTTACTCAAAAGATTTGACTATTTTTGTCCCAATATTCTGAAAGAAAGTGCAGACTATGAATTGGACTATTTTGTGAATTTGTGATGAAACAAGGGTGGTGAAAAGGTAAGACCAAGAAGCGATATCAGGTGTTTGCAAACGAGTGAGCATATAAATAAATAAATAAATAAATCTATTCCCTCCAGGTGTTTTAGTATGCCCCTCAGGAATTTCCATTAATAGGATGTCATGTTTAGTGATAGATGGTCAAGACATGGTAGTGTCACTCATGTAAACCATCAAAGAACAAACATTTGGTGAATTATGTGATGAAATTTGTAAATTTAGTTTAACATCATCACATCAGCAGTATCAAGATCAATTGATAGGGACAGATACTATTCTTATCTTACCAGACGAATAATTGAAGATTAATCTGTCACACTTCCAAACAAATGCTCTGCAATACCATCAAACAAAGCTGGTCCGGCATGTTTTCTATAAACTGACTCTTTCTATAAGATGCGCCAGCTGACAAAACACTATTGCTTTCAGGCAATTTGAGAACAAGTTAAGACATAGATTTTGATATTCACAATCTTCAAACTCAATACAGATACAAAAATAATTTTGCACTGCATAGACTCCACTGCAGATAATATTGTTTCAATTTATGATAAGATTCATTCATCTTTCAATTGGATGAAAACAGGTACATACAAATCTCCAAAATACATTCCTATGCATAATAGTGTGGGAAGAAATTTGTCATTCAGTCAGCATGTATGTAAAGTTTTATGTGAATAACCTTGTGTGATACGGTATCTTACTTTGCAGGACACAGCAAGAATACAGCATGGGAAATACTTGAAACAGACCATCATCTCATTGAAGCAATTGAAACAATTGAAGACATATATGGTCAATGACAGAAAGAAGTGTTTATTAAATTGTATAATGTGGCAGAAATGCAGGCAATTCCACCTACCATATATTTACCAAGGCAATCCATATCTTCTTTCACCAATTTTTATATAAGATGGATTCTCACATCACTGCCACCAATTCAGGAATCTATTAAGATTCTCATGCAGATACACATCACTACATGCAAGAAGGGACAACTCCCCTACACAGGAGCATGCAATCGATGCATGGTACATGCAAATGATCATTTAGACTAACGTTGGTTATTATACTGTACATGTGTGTCAGTAAATGTAATACTCTCAGTGTATACATGTACTTTTTGAGTGGTAACATAACCTGGAAAAAAAATCTTATGCAAATGAAGGGCAGTGTAAAAACTTAAAATATGCAGTGACCTAGTCTGTTTGGTGGATGGCCATTACAAATCAAGGTGTGTCTAGAAACTGTTAAAAAATTGAGCCACACTGCCCTAATTATATGTCCTGATTTGCGGATGGCTACAGTACAATCAAGGGGAGTGTGGAAACAGTTAAAAAGCCATAGTGATCTATTCATGTCAAACAAAGGGCAGTGTAGAAACTGTGGACGGCTAATATACATGATGTGTGTAGATACCGTTAAAAAGGTCAAAGTGACCTAATCATATCCTATTGGTGGACAGCTAAGGCAAATGAGGGGCAGTGGAGAAACTGTTAAAAAAGACAAAGTGACCTACAAATGTACATCATATCCTATTGGTGGACAGCTAAGGCAAATGAGGGGCAGTGGAGAAACTGTTAAAAAAGACAAAGTGACCTAATCATATCCTATTGGTGGACAGCTAAGGCAAATGAGGGGCAGTGGAGAAACTGTTAAAAAAGACAAAGTGACCTAATCATATCCTATTGGTGGACAGCTAAGGCAAATGAGGGGCAGTGGAGAAACTGTTAAAAAAGACAAAGTGACCTAATCATATCCTATTGGTGGACAGCTAAGGCAAATGAGGGGCAGTGGAGAAACTGTTAAAAAAGACAAAGTGACCTAATCATATCCTATTGGTGGACAGCTAAGACAAATGAGGGGCAGTGGAGAAACTGTTAAAAAAGACAAAGTGACCTAATCATATCCTATTGGTGGACAGCTAAGGCAAATGAGGGGCAGTGGAGAAACTGTTAAAAAAGACAAAGTGACCTAATCATATCCTATTGGTGGACAGCTAAGGCAAATGAGGGGCAGTGGAGAAACTGTTAAAAAAGACAAAGTGACCTAATCTTATCCTGTACAAATGACAGGCAGTGTAAAATGAAAGTTGATAGAATGAACAAATCATGACTATCTGCCTTTCAACACCCAACATTGAGGGCCAATGTTGTATCAAACATCTGATACTTCTTGCGAGTTTCATGTCTAATCTTAACATTATAAGACATTATACAGCATTCCATCCATTGTCTATTTTTGGCAGCATCACTGGGAATCTCCTCTAATGATTCAGGACATAGTAGATACATTAGATCTTCCAATAATGACTGTGATTCAGTGTCTTTATACAGGTTTGTTGGTGGGATGTTAGAAAATAATGTTTCCTGAAATAAGTCCAAAAAAAACATTCAACTATTGGTAGATTTTATCACTGATTTGCCAACACTTCTTAGTATGTAAATGTATGTTCCCAAATCAAAGAGATTTTTAGGGAATTTTGAATAATCAAACTGTGTTTGTGATTTGTCATACCGAATTTGTTCCTGGACTATATAGTGGGAATATACCCAACCCTACCAAAACTTGACTGGGCGTATATATTCGATCCCACCCTACCTAAAACGCAACAGGGCTATTCAGTGTTAATATACCTACACCAACCAAAACTTTACTGGCCTATTCAGTGGGAATATACACAATACTACCAAATCTTGATTGGGCTATTCAGTGGCAAAATTTTCAACCCCATCCTACCCAACTCAGGCTGGGCTATTCAGTGTGAGTATTGTAGCATATTTACTTACTGCATTTTCTTTACCTACAAGAACTTCTATTTTATCGGTACCATCAGACATTAACAAATGGAAGAAGTACATATACTGGAGAATTGAAACTCTGTGTACTGAAAAACATAATAAGGACATTTGTCATGTAATCAATGTATTATTTTCATTCATGTCAAATGTGTTAAGAAATCATCTCATCCAGTGAAACCTGTATAAACTGAACACCAAAGAGACTGATACAGTGAAACCTGTCTAAACTGAACACCAAAGAGACTAATACAGTAAAACCTGTCTGATGTGAACAACAAATGGACTGATACAGTGAAACCTGTCTAAACTGAACACCAAATGGACTGATACAGTGAAACCTGTCTAATCTGAACACAAAAAGGACTGGTACAGTGAAACTTGTCTAATCTGAACACAAAAGAACTGATACAGTGAAACATGTTTAAACTGAACAACAAATGGACTGATACAGTGAAACCTGTCTAATATAAACACAAAGAGGACTGATAAAGTGAAACCTGTCTAAACTGAACAAAAATGGACTGATACAGTTAAACATGTTTAAACTGAACAACAAATGGACTGATACAGTG